TATTTATAAGCTTGTTGGCAACTGTTAAATTTTCCATTTTCCCCATCATAAAAATAGAAAGTGCTTTATGTTGAATGTAAATGCCAGACATTTCAAGCTGTAATTTGCACCTTATCTAAATAATATCATATATCAAAACTAGTGTTGTAAACGAACCGAACAGAGCTAGAGCTTGGGCTGTTCGAGCTCGTGTTCATTTACGTTCGAACAGTGTTTATGCTTGTTCGTTTATTTTTCGAGTAAAAAATCGTGTTCGAGTCAGTTTGTTTGATTGTTCGTTAAAATTCAAATTCGTTCGTTTTCGAATAATTTAATATATAAACTTTTAAATATGTTTGATTAACTCGAAACTTTTTCGTTGGAACACAAAATAAAAGAATAAAATAAAAATATTTTAATATTTCAGATTTTTATTGAATATATTATGTAAATATATAAAAATAAATAAAGTTCAATTAAATTTTAGATAATTTATTAAATTATTATGAAAAACATATAAAAAATAAAATAAAATTATATTAAGTTAATGTTCGCGAACGTTCACGAACAAGCTCGTGTTAATTTGGTTATTAAACGAGCCTAATTTTATGTTCGAACTCGGCTCGATTAACAAACGAACGAGCTTTTATCGAACACGAACAAACTTGTACGAGTTTTTGTCTGTTCGATTCATTTACAGCTCTAATCAGAACCCCAATCTTAGGCATGGGTGGCAACACCAAAACATGACTACATGATTGGGCGAGTCCTTGTACGTACCAACTTAATGATAATTATGTTCAAAGGAAATTCTGCTGGAGGATTGCATCAAACATTGGATCTAATTTCAACAAACTAATCAGCCAATGCCAAAAAAGACTCAAAATCATGATATTTCTTCTGAATTTTGATGTCCTTCCAAATTAATAGGAAGATAAAGGCAAAAAGTGCAGCTAACATCACGATCTTATCGACTTTTACATTTCTGTCACGACTTTGAGACCTTAGCACTTCGGTACCCAACCTTTTGCTTTTTTTGCAAAACGAAGCATTGACCTGGTCTTTGACCTACGGATGCCAACATGTCCGGCAGTTTAATTGACGTGGCACACATTTCTCTGGCAAAAAAAACCAGGTCAGCTTGGATACACACACACACACACACACACACACACACATATATATATATATATTATTAAAGAAAAATTAAATAAAAGAAAAACAGGGCATCAACATTGAAGCAAATCCTTCACAATTTCATCTGAGAAATCTTCTAAGCAAAATTACAAATTCCAGAATCTATACATATTCCCACAAAATTCAAAAAGGAAAAAAGAAAAAGAAAAACCGAGTGAGAGAGAGAGAAAAAAAAGAGGGGAGAATGAAACAAAATAATCCCTCCCAATCCATATTCTCCCCATTCCATATCCACCAAAATAATCCCTCCCAATCCATATTCTCCCCATTCCATATCCACCATTTTCTCATAGATACCTGCGTTATATCCACCAAGCCCAACATTCAAGAAAAATTCAAGAAAAAGTCAATGTGTAGAGAGATGGATTCAAGTCGAGATTGCAGTGATTTTTAGATTTGAAGGGCGAAGTTTATGTCGATGGTCGAGGGTTTTCGGTCACAGAATTTTTGGGATTTGGTATTTGAAGAGGAATTTAGAGATTTAGGGATTTGGATTTTGAAGAAATGAATTTTAATTTTTAGGATTCAATAGAAACGACTTCGTTCTAGGTCAGTTTTTTTTTTTTTTTT